ACCAAAAAATTTTGATGAAAAAAAAAAAAAATGATTACAATATTATATTATATACAAGATGAACAATTAGATAATAAAAAAAATTATTGTGATCTAAATTGTGAGAGTTTATAGAGTTTTTGATGTTTTGGATTTTTGACTTTAAAATAAAATTTCCCGTCAGTATTAAGTAAAGATTTTAATATGAACAAACAAGACAGACAGATCAGGAATTAATTGAATGATATAACGGTGCTAGTCTAAAGAAAGTGTCTAAAGCGAAAGTCAATAATTTACAATAGGTACAATTATATAGATAGAATTTTGAAAAAAAAAAAATGGGGTATGATCCCAAACAACTATAGTGACAATTTGAAATCGAAATTCCTGAAAACTTGATACAATATTTATAATATTCTGTCATGTTCAATATCCCTTTAATATATTAAAATATTCTGGTACAATTTCATGTATTTTATCTTATTCCACTTTTTAATAAATTTTCTTGAATTTTCGTGATAATTATTTAAAGTAAGAAGTTTTTAATGAATAAATATTTATATTTTACACATGTCAAAATCGCAGTATATATAAATATATAACTTTACAGCTTTCAAACAAATATATACATAATAAGAGGACTATCACAAATCAAAAATTATGCTATTGCAGATGATCGTCTCAATAATCGTAATAATATAATTATGGGCGGCGCCAGCAAAAACACGAATGCGGTGAATTAATCGGATTAACAATATTAGACTTAAAAACAAGTTCTAAAACTGCAAAACGTCTATCAACTTATTTTTATAATTTTAGTACCTAAATTTATTTTTATAATGTTTGAAAATTGCTTGAATGACAGAATTTCAATTCGGGACTATACAGACAGCATTTTGCTTGTGAATTCATCAAGTTCAAGTCTACTTTCTATTGTAAAATTCAGTCATGTAATCTGATAATCCATATGGAGGATGTTTATTTAAATAAAATAATGATGTCAAAATTATTAAATTTCTTTTTAAATATCAACCTTTAATTATACGTGTTTAAATTGATAGCATGTATTGTAATATTAACGTTTGACCCTAAAATTATGAATAAATTGTTATTATTATGCTTAATGAACAGTTGAATACATCACAAATAAAAAAAATATTTAATATACCATGTGTATCTCTTTCTTGCCTTTGCAAGACCCGGTTTCTTACGTTCGACAACACGAGTATCGCGTGTAACAAGATTGGCTAGAAAGAAAGGTATGTTATTATCACTTATTATACTTATTATCACAAAGGAATATGACCAAAAATAAGAAGTGATTTATTTACCTGCTCTTAAAATTGGTTTGAGATCAGAATCGTGTATGATCAAAGCTTTAGTGATCCCATGAGCAATTGCATCTGCTTGACCTTTATGAAAAAAATAGATTTAGAAATAATTCTCTTCGCAATTCATAAACAAAAATTAAAGAGTATTCACCTGTTGTACCTCCTCCCTTAACTTTTGTCCAAACATTATATTTTCCAAGCAAGTCAGTTACTTGAAATGGATATAATATTGACTCACGATCTTTCATTAAAGAAAAGTATTCCGCCATTGGTTTTCCATTAACGATTACATGCCCATCACCTTCTACCACCCAAACTTGAGCAACTGCTTCCTTTCTTTTTCCTAATGTAAAAGCTCTTCCAAATTGATCGACGGTTTTCATTGCTTCTAAAAGTTTTTTCTCTTTTTCTAGATCATAACGTCTAAATAAATCCAAAAAATTATGTAATTGAGGTGCAATTTCAGGTATTATAATATTTAATTGATTCAATTTTTGTATGATCGTACGGTATTGATGTGTTTTTAAACATAAACCTAATTTTTCATCTAAACGTTGTTTTAATATCCATAAAGTTGGTAAAACATTTTTATCTTTCAATTTAGGTGTTTTTCTATATTTAAATATAAGATCATCAAGTTGTATAATAAGATCATTATAAGTTGGTTTTCCTGTAAAATATGAAATTGATTGAGGTATTTCACGATTTGATAATATATCAATTGATTCATATTTATTCTCTTTACTAATAGTAGTAGTAGTGGTATAATAACGGAAATTTACAAAAGGGTTTATAATATTTGAATTTCTATTACATGATTTTAGAATAATGGACTTTTTTATATTTGATTTTAAATTATTTCCTAATACTTTTTCGGAAACTTTATAAACAAATTGTAATTTAGAAGTTAATGAAGTTAACATAATTTCATAGAAAAAGAGAAAAAAAAAAATTTTGTAGATGTCTAAAATAAAATGTGACCGATTTGTAACACCCAGAATTGATCATCGATCTGTGCATTTTTTTGCGTTAAAAAAAGAGTTAAAAGTAAAATAATAATTAAAATAATTGTAAAAAATATGATCCCAACATAGTCTTTTAACCTACAGTCGGCCCTCGATACAACGAACCCTCCGATTTTCACCTCAAATTCTCTATAAAATTATATCGAAGAATTTAAAAAAATTTAATTGGCTGATTCGTTATAAACGAGGGATATTTTGATGTATATGAGAGAAAGATTCAGTATAAAGCGAGTTCGTTATATTGAGGGCTGACTAATATTAAAATATATTAATTCGCGATTTACAATATGAATTAATCAATTTAATTTCAGATACTCAAGTCAATCGAATGTATGATCCTGAATAAGAAATAAATGAATGAATTACTTTTTACTCATAAGACTACACTCCGTAAATCAGGTGGTATCAGATCATTCCACTAATTTTCTGAATTATAAGAATATTTCTTATTATCCTTAACGCAATATCCAATCTCCAATCATGATTGAAAACATGTTTGCAATCATTTGATTAATAATAACTTTTTACCAAATTTATCGGTTCATTATATTAAATGAAATGTTTCACGATGTTCTCCTGGTTGTATAAATGTCTCGATAGCCTCGCCTAGGTTGTTTCAAAGAATGCTATCAATTAAATCCTTTAGTTCATAAGTTGAAAGGGGAAAGAATTGAAATAATTGTATTTTTTCTTAAAATAGTCAATTATAATTTCAAAAAAAAATGAGGACTTCCATATATATATATATATATATAAAATGAAAATAACAAACAATAAATAATAAGTTAGGCTGAATTATGTAAATTCCGGCCGGAATTAAGATCTCGAAATATGAGTGATACAATTTTTGATCAAATTCGATGTCAAATTTTTTTTTTTTTCGAATTTTATAAAGATGCCCATTAAAGCCATTAAAGCCATTAAAGCGGAAGAAACTGCAAAAGACCTTTCTAAAGAGGAAGATTCCGATACTCAACACGTTAAAGAGTCTGATGAATCTAGTTCAGATTCTACTGAAGAAGAGGAAGAGGAGGTAGAGGAGGAAGAAGGGGGAGTCGCGTTAGACGATTTATCTGAGGAAGAGGTGGACGAAGATGTTGTACCTCAACAGCATGTCACAATAAATAATAAGGTAAATAATTATATTAAAGAATAATCAATTGCTTTACTAATTTGCTTTTTAAGTTAACCAAATTTAAATATTGTCAAGTCAGTATTAAAAAAAATTTATCAAGATATTAAGCTTGATGTACCGTGGATTGAAACCCAAGCGATAACTTCTTTAGAACCTGCAAATATCAAGGATATTAATAACGACATAGAACGTGAATTAACATTGTAAGATATTATTATTATTATTATTATTATTTTATTATACTAGTTTTTTTTTATAAATGTACTTGAAAATTTTATTAGTTACAAGCAAGCACTTGAAGCAGCTGTAGAAGGACGTAACAAAACTACAGAGTTGGGAGTAGCATTTTCTAGACCTGATGATTATTTTGCAGAAATGGTAAAATCTGACGAACATATGACAAAAATACGTAAAAAATTAATTGATGAGGAACAAAAAATAAAAGCGAGTGAAGATGCCAGACGTAAACGTGAATTAAAGAAATTTGGCAAAAAAGTTCAAATTGAACGTTTACAAGAACGTCAAAAACAAAAAAGAGAAGATCTAGAAAAAATTAAAGCTATGAAAAAAAGTATGATAATTCTTAATACATATTTTTTTTAAGGTTTAACTAAAAAGATATTAATAAATTGCTCTTTTTTTTCATAACTTTTAATTTAGAAAGGAAAGGTATTGAAGATACTGCTGTGGATGATGATTTTGAAATTGCTTTAGAAGAAGCTGCTGATAAGGATAATAGACCTAATAATAATAGACCTAACAAAAAACAAAAAACTGGAAAACCTTCTAAACGTACTTATAAGGTATCGACCATAAGATTGTAATTTTAAACATTTTATTTTTTCAAAATAATTTAACTTTTTTATAATTTAAAAGGATACTAAATTTGGCTTTGGCGGAAAGAAACGTCATGCTAAATCAAATACTGCACAATCTTCTGGTGATTTATCAATATTTGATGGTGGAAAATCCACAAAAAAAGTACGTCGTAAGATTTAAAACATATATATGTATAGGTTTTTTTTTGTTGAGGAGAATAATATTTAAGTGATTTTTTGATTTTTTTTTATTTCTTTATAACTATAGAAGAAAATCACAAAAACGCGCCCTGGAAAAGCTAGACGTCAAGCTGCAAGAAATAAAAGACAATGAAAAATTATTTAATTATTTTTTTTTTGTTCAAACAGTTCATTCAAATCTTATAATTTTATTAATGAATAATATTATTTTTTTTAAAAAAAAAAATAAAATAAAATAAAAAATGTATTACATTTGACTGTAAACAATTTTAATTTTCTGTACATAATCAAATAAAATTTTTTGATATTTTTGCATCATTCTTTTAAATTAAATGATATTTTATATTATGGCTTTACAAGTTTTACACAAGAACAGGCGTGTTTATGTCAATTTTTATTATAAAGAAACCTAGATTTAACGTTATTATATTTGCCTAAGTCCTATCCTACCCGACATATTTTTTTAGGACCAAGCTTCTATTGGTGTGTTAAAGCATATAAGAAATACTTTATTATAGTTGCTTCTACTGAAATATATACATATATACTGAAATAAAGTGCGAGTTGAATCACTAATAAATAAGAGAAGCCAAATGAATTGACTTATTAAAAAGAATAAAAGAGTTGAAATTCTTTTACTTTAAAAAAGACTTGAGAAACTTTTAGAGAAATTTTTAGAAGCGTAAAAAAATATGAAATGTAATCAGTAATGTAATCATATATATACATTTAAAGTTTTTTAATAATTTTAACAGTTTCCATATTAGATATTTTAAATATTAGTTTCGTCTCTGTTTTTATCCCGTATGACAAACAAATTTTATATTTCGATAGCCAATTATATTCATAATCATGTTAAATTGGTCCAACTTTCCCAACGGAAAGTCAGTAAATATCAAGACTTTTATTATTTATCGTAAATATTGTATCGATACCTTGACATTCTTTATTTCCTTCGCATCCCTTGTATTATATTTTTCTTTCTTTCCTCGCGTGCCAGCACGTTAGTCATATTTACCTATAAGTTTTTCTCGTTACCATATTAGGCATCTGTTATTTCTACACTAGATTTAGTTTGGACTACTAATAACGCGAACAAAATTTATTAAATTTTTTTTTTATTTCTATATAGATAACGATAGTTTTTATTTGGTATTCGAGCCTCTCATCTACATTAAACGAAAAATAAAATTAACGACTACTTAAAGGTTTGCGTGAATTCAAAAAAACATTTCTACAAATAAAGCAATTTTGTTAAAAAAAATAAAAAAATAAATAAAAAATAAATAAAAAGATTTACCTGTTTACGATTGAACCGCAGGACACGATTCCATTCCTTATGTACTTTGGCTTTATTTCGTTCATTCGTTCGTTATAGTATACTCATCTGTCACTTAGTCAAGTATTGATTTATAATAGTAAGCAGTGTAAATAATAGTATCAGGTAATTTCTCGATTGGTTATTTATATTTTTTTTTTCACTAGTATATTAACGTTTTTATTTATTTTTTTTTCATTCAGAGAATATTTTATATAATTGAAAAAATGGCTGCGAATCCTGGTCTTCAATCAATATCAGATCTTACTGCTTCAACCCGCTTAACTACAGGGGATATACCACCACCTCTTGTAGGTTCTTCAACAACCGTTATAAGTACCCGGCTTTATTTATTCGCAGGACGACTTGTGTCTTCTCGACGCATGACAAATGAACTATATGAACTTGATTTAGAAACATTTGTATGGACAAAATTTCAGGATACTGAACAAAAAGCACCAAAAGCTAGATATTTTCATTCTGCAAATCAATATAAAAATTCAATCGTATTTTTTGGCGGAATGGGATATTCAAGAACTTCAAATGATGGTTTATGTGTGTTAGATGATGTTTCTATCTTTGATTTAGACACATATACTTGGAAACATCCTGAAATAACACCTTCATCTTTTTCCCCACGACCAAGATATGCACATTTAGCCGCAGTGACTGCAAATAAGTTGGTAGTGGTAGGTGGTCAAGACATGTCCAACTCATATATAGAAGAAATTAATGTGTTGGATTTGGATGAATTGACATGGACCTCATCAAGACCTTTTGAGAAGCATTGTGGGGCATATCGTTCAGTTGCAGTTAGTAGTACTAGTCATACTAATTTACCTTTATATGGTAATAATGTTAATGATAACGCTTCAATCACTTCGTCGTTTGATTCTACTTCTTCATCATCGGACACAAATGTTCCTGCACCATTGAGAAAATCAACTTCTCAGCAGGCGTTATCTAGTACAAACAACACTGTTTCTAATGTTATTCGTAAACCACCATCTGTTGGAGCCTTTGGTCGTCCAGAATCTTTACGCAGAACTCCTTCAGGAGGTCAAAATATTGTACGTTCACGTTCCATAAAAAGGGTACAATCGTCAAGCAATTCATACTATCGGCTTTCATATACAACTAGTGTCACTGAAGAAAATCCGAATCCTATTTATTTATACTCTAATTATAATTTCACGGATGTTAAACGTGAACTTCAAGTTATTGCACCACCTACAACGTCGAATTATCAAATTATGGATCATTCTTCAAATATGACAGGTGCATTTTTACCTCCAGGTCTTCGTTTCCCAACTGGAGCGATTCTTGGACATCATCTTATTATATCAGGAACTTATTTAACAAATACAAGTCAAACTTTTAGTATATGGGCATTAAACCTTGCGAATTTGGTTTGGACACGAATTGATACTGGTTCATGTTTCTCACAAGGTTCGTGGAATAGGGGCATACTATGTGAGGAGACTAACAGATATTTTGTACTTGGTCATCGCGATAGGTCACTCGTTGATGATTATAATCATCGACAAACAAATTTTGACCATGTGACTGTTGTAGACTTGGAAGCATTTGGAGTTTATCAACCACCTCCTGCTACAATGTCTACAAATGCACAAGAATTAGGATTGGCATTATTAAATGATTCTAATATAGCAGATTTTGAAATTGTGACGCAAGATGATCGGAGAATACCCGTTAATTCACAAATATTATCGCAAAGATGGCCTCATTTTAAGGCGTTAGTTAATCAACAGGCTGAAAGAGTACCTAAACCAAAATATGATGAAGAGACGATAAAAAATCCTGAAGATGAAGAAACTATATTGATGTATAATAATAGAGCTTTAGAATTTCCTGAGCCTTATCCTGTCACATTAGCATTTTTACAATATTTGTATACCGATCATCTTCTTACATCACAACAGCATCAGCCTCAAATATTAGCACAACTTTTACTGCTAGCAGATATGTACGATTTAGACCGTCTACGACAATTGACATCGCATTCATTACATCAGTCTTTAAGTATGTCCACAGCTGCATTAATATATGAAACAGCTGCACTTTCACGTCAAACAGGTTTACAGATTCGTGCTCTTAAAGTTATGATTGCCGCCAAGAAAATGCTTCAGCAGCAGCAGCAGCAGCAGCAACAACAACAACAACAACAACGAGAGTCACGAGTTCCTCCTCAAATAGGAGATGGTGATATTTTGTCCTCAAGTTGGGCAAATCCCGCAAGTCCTCCTTTATCAGCAGCTATAGCATCTGATACGAGAGCATCTTATTATGATCCATATTCAACAGCAATGAATTTAACATCACAATCACCACTATCTTCACCTATTCAGAAAAGAACTCGATCATCTTCATCTGTATCAGCTTATAATAGTTCAATATCTAGTCGTGGATATTTACCAACCATACAAGATAGTATAACACAGAATGATGTTATATCTGAAGAAAGGATAAATTCGTCAATATCGACTCGAAGTTTGCGACCTACTAGATCAAATAGTTCATTGTCTACATCAACAAGATCTTCTAACAGAAGTTATGCAGCGAGTACAACTACATTTGGTAGTAATAATGTACCAATACATCAACAACCGGTGTCACCAGAAAATCGAGTATATCAACAGGAATCTGGATTTGGTTATGCAAGTGGTGGATTATAGCAAAGATTTTAATAAATATTGTAAGGCAGGAAAAGATGAAAAATAATGAAGTCAAGATTTTATTAAATGAAGGGTTCAGAAAATATGCTGGTAATCAAAACTATTTAGCTTATATTAACATTGTCAATAGGTACATACAAAAATTACAAAAATTCAAACAGAATGTAATATTGACGATGTATGATTAATAATTAATGTTAGGAAGAAGAAAAAGTTTTAGTAGGGATAAAAAAAAAATTAATTTTTATTGGATCTATTATTTATTTATTTATTTATTTTGATTAATATTTATTATTGTTATATATATTGTATTGTATTTTTTTTACCTTTTTTTTTTGAAAATTGGAATTTTATTAAAAAAGTAGATTTTCATCATATATTATTATATACCTGTCTCTTATACACATCTAGATGTGTATAAGAGACAGATTATATACAGTATATATATTAATAATTTTAACTTATTAAATAATAATTATAATAATTGTAAAATTAAAAAAAAAAAGAGTTTAAAAACTTTTGCAGTAAGCATCCTAAATAAGGTAAAAATAATTAAATGCTTGTCCCACGTTATTTTGTGTGACAAGTGGAATTTAAAAATTGCGCACTTTTTACGACAATAAAGTTTTTTTTAGATCTTTTTGATCTAAAAATTTCAAATTGCACATATCTCAAAATGGAGTACGTAAATGATAATGAACAATATCCCGATAACTCGCCTCCCGATTTAACAAAATTATTACAACGATCTGTAAAGCGAACAAAAGCAATGTTTCAATCCGGCACTGGTACAAATTTTCTTCTGGAGGATGACGAAAGGTTTTTAATGAATGATTCTGGTGGAGGTTTTCATATGAGTTAGCCGTTACTCGCTTTTTACCTCGTTGCGTCTTGCACCTCTAACTTCTAACGCATGTTATTATTACTTTTTAATAGTCAACAGGTCAAGTTAAGAATAAAAATTAACGACGAGTATAGTGATGTTCAGCAGTTACCTGCTTCATTATTAGCACAACAAAGTAGAGGAAAGAAAAGACCTTTAGAGACGGGCGAATCTGGTTTGGATAATGGTGCTTCAGAAACTAATGGGACTGGTCCCGTATCTATGCAATTGGATAATAATGAGCATTTGCCTCAAATCACCGGGGGTCATACATATCCTTCTGCATCAGGTTAGTTATTAATTGTAATTGATATTTTTTGTGTTAAGCTAGTATTAATCGAAATATATTATAGGAGTGTCACTTTCTGAGGATAACGCGGTTGAAGGACAAGTGTCTGCTAATACTATACAAAAATTAGTTGATAATCTTCCACCTTCACGTGTTCAGTAAGTGCAACTTAATTTTACTTTGTTATTTGATAATCATTATTAATTATTTTTTTATATTATAAAGACAAGAAGCTGCGAAAACTGCACATGGTGTAGTCGCTATTAGACAAAAGGCCGGTATTAATGCTACACCATTTGCAACTTCAGGATCTTTGGTAAGACGTCAAGTTCCGAGAGCGCAACGTCCAAATTGGCATGCTCCTTGGAAATTAATGAGGGTAATTAGCGGCCATTTAGGATGGGTTCGTTCTATAGCTGTAGAACCGGGGAATAAATGGTTTGTAACAGGTGCTGGCGATCGAACCATCAAGGTAGAAAGATAAATCACTTTTCTTTTATTAAAAAAAAAAAATGTTTTTAATTATAAGCTTTAATTATTAGATTTGGGATCTTGCATCTGGTACTTTGAAACTTACTCTTACAGGTCATATTTCGACAGTTCGTGGTTTGGCTGTTTCACCACGACATCCGTATTTGTTTTCTTGCGGCGAAGACAAAATGGTTAAATGTTGGGATCTTGAACAAAATAAAGTTATACGACATTATCATGGTCACTTGTCTGGCGTATATTCTTTAAGTTTACATCCTACATTAGATATTTTAGCTACAGCAGGAAGAGACGCTACTGCGAGAGTATGGGATATGCGTACAAAACAATGTATTCATGTATTAAGTGGACATTCTTCAACAGTAGCAGATGTAAAATGTCAAGAAGTAGATCCACAAATAATTACAGGTTCAATGGATTCAACTATCAGACTTTGGGATTTAGCAGCAGGAAAAACTATGGCAACGCTTACGCATCATAAAAAATCTGTTAGAGCATTAGCTATACATCCCGCAGAATTTACTTTTGCTAGTGGTAGTGCTGATAACATTAAACAGTGGAAATGTCCTGAAGGAACTTTTATGCAAAATTTTGAAAATCACCGTGCTATTATTAATACTTTAGCTGTTAATGTTGATAATGTTTTATTTTCTGGTGGTAAGTAAAAAAAAGTTTTTTCTTTTTTTTTTTAAAAAAAAAAAAATTGATTTTTAACATTAATTGTTAATTGATATAATATATTTAAATATATTATTAAAGCTGATAATGGATCGATGGCATTTTGGGATTGGAAGTCAGCATATAAATTTCAATCGTTGGAGACAACCGTTCAACCTGGATCTCTGGAATCTGAAGCTGGTATATTTGCTAGTACATTTGATCGCACAGGATTAAGATTGATTACGTGTGAAGCTGATAAAACTGTTAAAATTTGGAGAGAAGATCCTAATGCGGTACGAATAATATACTTCAATAAATTAAAAATACGAAATTATATTGAGTATTTCTTTAATTGCTTAAACTATGTTTATTTTTTAGACTCCAGAAACTCATCCTATTGAATGGAAGCCAACATTGATTAGAACTAGATATTAATTAGTATATTATTATTACATTATATTTTACTTGTATATATTTCTATTTTTAAAACAAAACATGATTATGAAGTTTAATAAAAATAATTAAAATGGATTTTATTCAATAGAATTAGAATTATTAGAATTATTGATGATTGCTCGTAATTTACAGTGATTTTATTTATATATTAAGCTATTTTACCCATTGCAAAAATGAAGTGATAATATTTTCTCATATTCAAATCATTGAATTCATAGTAGAATTTAAGAATCATTGCCTATTACCTACAGGCAGTGGAAGTTTATCCTGAAGTACTTCCAAAAAGTTTCGAATTTCGCTTAAGAGGGCATTGACTCCTCCAGTTTCTTCCATAATATCATAAGGATGCCATTCGGGTGTTTCTCCGACATTCAAATTGCTATTAAAAGCAAAATTATCTTCCCAAGATTTTCTGTAAAACTATATGAAGAATGAATAAAAATTCAGATTGATAAAATGAAAAATAGAAATTTTTAAAAGAATATTTTACTTACTGAAACTCCATAGGTAACAGCAGCTGATTCTTTATCCAAAGGAACTTCGACACCGGGAGAACTAGTTATCTTATCTTTTAAGTCCCAAAATTTATACCTTGTAACTTCTACAACATAATGATCGCCCCACCAATATTTCCATCTGTTTTTTTCACACACTGAGGTAACGTTTATTTCATCAGTGTTTGAATAAACCAAGTGTTCATTATTTTGGCTACATTATTGTTTTATATATTAATCAGTGTTCTTTAAAAGATCAATTGTTGTTGTATTGCAAAATTTATGTAGTTACCTAAGTCGTAATTTATAAACAAAAGTTCCTAAAGCATTAAACTTGTCATTAGGAAGGCGTTTTGCTGTTTTGATGTTGAGTTTCCATGAGTAAACACTGAAATTAATATATATATATAATATTTAATTAGTTTAAAATATCCTAAAGATTTATATTATTTTAATAATACTACTAACTTATCCAAACATGACATGTTGATGTCCAATATGTTCTTATCATGTGTAGTTACATTCCACAGGCCAATCTTTCCATCTTCCTTAAACTGGACATCAAAAGCACACGGCCAGGGTTCTACGCGAGCATTGCGACCCATTGGAGGTGGTCTACGGATTACAAGAATTTTATATTCTCGAAATGGTGACCCATCCCATTGTCGATCACAATCGGAGAGAATTTCAAATAAAGCATCTAATTGTCTGAAATGATTAGCAATACTAAAAAAGGAAATATTTACATTGTTAAAAAATTTCTCATATAAAAGCAAGCAATAACCAATGTAAATTATTATAATCACTTGCCACGTAGCAAATTTAGATTGTAAACGAGAATCACTCAGAATCTTATCATTAAGTCGATCGATAGCCCATAATGGTTCTCTGGGAAAATCTGTTAAGCACACATGGCCAAATCTAGTGTATCACGAACAGATTTTAATAAATAAACGTGTATGCATAATTTAGAAATATTATACTATACCTAATACGCATTTTAATTTCTTCGTCAAATAAGTGAATGGTTCCAAAAGCTTTAATAAGAGCATCCTCGATCCTTTTCACATTTGACACACGAATACTAATATTTATTGACACAAACTTTCATTATTCATATAAAGGTCCGGATAATAAATATATTTTAAAAGACTCACTTGTGCAAAGCATCGAAATTAGAGTTTGGATTTAATTCTCTTGAACCTCCGTTTTTACCGACAACCGAAATTTTATCTCCCTCAAGAACAGGTTCAAGGAGTTTGAACAATCCAAAGACATCATGCGGTTTGTTGAACCAAGGCGCGGGATTTGCTATTCTAACTTTATAAGGTTTATTCGGCGGTTCTATCATATGAAGCACCCAGCCTTTATAAACGATCGCATTATCCTTATTTGTTACATTAGGAACGGACCTGGACTAAAGAATTATAATTATTAATTTAAAAATTAATCACTTGTTAAACTTGTTAACAATTCATGAAACTAAGTTCATACCGCAACTACTTTAATATACAAATGCTTGACTCGCATCGTTGCTTCTTCAACGGAATCATAAGTATCACCAACAATTCTTATTAACTATAAGAACAAATAAGATAAATAAATAAAATAAAGAGAATTCGAAGATTTAATCTATTTTTTCTATAATACTTGCATTAGAGCTTGGTTCATACCACATATAACATTTAGTCTCCGCACGTACTGGATGCAGAGTCTCTTCTTTCTCGCCAATAATTCGTGAGATAGGAATTTCGGAATTAGGAAAAACAAAGTGCCCGTTAAAAGGTTTTCGATCAGGTGGAAATCCTCTGTAATCGCGGTCTTCACGTTCTCGAGCTTCCCTACGTTCTATTTTACGTTTTTGTTTCTCACTAAGAGCCTTTTCAGGTTTTGCCCAACCTTTAACTTTTCTTTTGCTGCGCTCTTGTAAATCTTTTGTTAGTACGGTTTCGGAGAGAGCAAACCATTGTTTAAGAGCTTGGTCGATATCTTCACGCGCACCCCAAATTTCGATTTGCTATATACAAATAAATACCATTAAATAAAAAACTTTCTCATAAATTAAAAAGTAGAAATAAATATTTACAGCTTCATCCTCATTATAAATCATATGAGTATTCGTCAGTTTTTCGATACGTTGCACGTGAAACCTTTTCTCTCCGAGAATATCAACTGGACGAACATTTGGAGGAATCTTTATATGGTATTGCACAATGGTGTATAATATGTTAAAATGAATTTAAATTAATCCATTAAACTAATCTTTAGAATTTTAATTGAAAAAAATAATAAAATTTATTTACCAGCCAAACTTCGTCGGGAGTTCTCTTTGGAACAGGACGTTCTTCATGATCTTTTTTTTGAAGCTGTTGTCGATGTCTCCATTGATCCGCTTCTTCCTCATCATAGAATTCTGAATTCCCTTGTCTATTATCTTGATTATGTTGATTATTATATTGATTATAGCTTTTTGACATTTTTAATTGTGAACACAAGAAAAATTTTATTATTCTTGAATAATGGACACTCAATATTCCGCTTATATAACAAACAATTACAATTTTTTTTTGTGTCCTTTTACGCCATCCCGGTACTGTGCCACGGATGCATGCAATTGTTCCAATTTGAATGATAATCACAAAATCTGTAATTGTTTTCCAAAAATGTAAACATTGGTCTGAATAACTATAAATTACAGTTGATTTTTTTTCAATTCATCTCTTTAACAAATCATTCTCTCAAATATTAGGGTTATAATTGCTCATTATTATCATTATTTCATCATTTTTTGCTAAAAAAAAAAGACAATAAAAGAAGAATTTTAAGAGAGATTTATTAAAGTTTGTTTTTAAAAAGTGTTATTAACAATGACTGCCAAACCAACTGAGTTAAGAATTAACGAACTTTTCGAAGTTGGTTCAGATGATGATAACAAGAATGGAACATTAAACGAAGTCGTTGTTCCAACTCCAGAGGTTGTCCAAGCATTAACTGCCCGTAAATATCAAACTGAACTGTACGAGAGGGCGTTAAATGACAACGTAATAGCGGTTCTGGATACTGGAAGTGGAAAAACTTTCATTGCCGTGATGTTGATAAAAGAAATGGTAGCAAAAGAGAGAGAGTTAAGAATGATTAGACGAGAGGTATTATTGATTTCAACATAGAACGGATCTTCCAATTTTTTATTTAAGAGAATATTAATTTTAATTAACCTTATTTTTTAGGAGAAACTCACATTTTTCCTAGTTAATCTCGTACCGCTTGTTTTTCAGCAATCTGACGTGATCAAAGCAAATTGCGATATAAAAGTCATGCGTTTTTGTGGAGAAATGGGTGTCGATTTATGGAGTGAAAAACAATGGAAAAAAACTTTTATAGAATATGATGTTCTAGTCATGACTGCACAGATTTTTTTAAATATTCTTCGTCATGGATTCATTTCCTTATCACAGGTAAATATTCTAATTCCATTAATGATTTGATATCAAAATTAATCATGTTAAAGTAATTAAAAGAAAAGTGTATGTATGTATATATATATGTATGTATGTATTATAAATTTTGATTATTAAATATCAAGGTTAATCTATTAGTTTTTGATGAGTGTCATCATACTTCAAAAAAACATCCGTATAATTTGATAATGAGAGAATTTTATGATCGATGTCCTGAAGAAAATAGACCAAAAATTTTTGGTATGACAGCATCCCCCGTTAATACCCGAAGTGCCATTCATTCTGCTAGGTATCACAGTTTTTTATCTAATAGATACATTTCTTTTATTGCTATACTGATTAACTTCATTTACTATTATTATAAATAGCCACCTTGAACGTAACCTAAACGCTAAAGTATTCACGGCCAGTGATACAGATGAGCTCCGTAGATTTGTCAATCGGCCTGATGAGATAGCTATAAGATATGAGCATCCACCAGATTATCCGGAAACTGAACTTTATAAAATTCTTTGGAAAGAATGCCTTGGTGCAGAAAAATTTCAAAGAGCGTTCGGGTGCGCTTCTCAAGCTCTTCAAATTTTAGGTCCTTGGTGTTCTGATCGGGTTTGGAAATATATATTAGAAGAATTAAATTCTAAATTTGAAGGGAAATTAGATCCGGAGCAATTTGACATGGAATTATTAGAAGCTTTATTAAAAGAAGAAAAAGTTTTAATGCAAAAAGTAACAACTATTATTGATAAATGGGTTTTTCAAAAACCTAGGTGTGACCCCAGTATGTTATCACCTAAAGTAATAAAATTATTACAAATCTTAGATTGTTTTAAGGATCAAGCTGATAACTTTTGTGGAATAGTATTTGTTGAGCGACGTCATACAGCTAATGTTTTAAATTATTTGTTAGGAGAGATAAGTGGTTTAGAATTTATAAAATCAGACGTATTAGTTGGACATGGTACTAGTGAAGAAGGAGATATACAAATGAAATTTAAAGATCAGAACAGAACCATAAGAGCTTTCCGTGATGGAAAGATCAATTTACTGATTGCTACTAATGTAGCAGAAGAAGGATTAGATATCCAACCATGCAATGTCGTTATTAGGTAAGTATAAAAATAATAATTATCTGGTTTATTATTAGTAATTATAACGTTTAAATTTATTTTAATTTTTTAGATTTGATTTTTTCAATACACTGAGAGCCTATATTCAATCTCGAGGAAGAGCTCGTCGTAAAGATTCAAAATATATTGTGATGATAGAAAAGGATAATCTCAAAGAACAAGGCATACTTGGAGAAATGAAAAAAGCTGAGGATGATATGAAGGAATGGTGCCAAATGCTCCCTGAGGATCGTAAATTACAAATGAATGATAATATAGATGATTCGGATGATTCGGATGATGAAGAAGGACAATATTTTATCATTCCTGAAACAGGTGCATTATTGAGTTATGAATCAGCCGTTTCACTTGTTAGTTATTACTGCTCAAAACTTCCTAAAGATGCTTATTGTCAGACATTTCAACCTGATTATAAATTTATAAAAGAACATGGTGGATTTACTTGTCATCTTACTTTACCAAATAATGCACCCGTTCGTGAAATTGTTAGTGAAGTTTGTAGCAGTAGAAGCAAATCAAAAAAAGCTGCCGCATTTAAGACTTGTCTACAATTACATGAGAAAAAGGCATTAGATAACCATCTGTTGCCAGAGATAGAATGGATTGAAGAAGATCATGAAATGCCGAAACTGACCATTGATGAACATGGGTTGGTCGAAGGAGCGAAAAAATCCAAAAGAGAGTATCGTCTTAAATCTCCTGATTTATGGGTTATTGAAGAAGATCAACCCAAGATTCCAGAAGAACTATATTTCACTATTTTTAAATTAGATCTAGATGATGAAAAATATGATGGTAATCCATACCGTACAATGTGTTTATTAACACGTAAACAGTTTCCGGAGATTCCAGCAAGTTACTTATATTTTCATGGAGTTCCTAAAACACTTAATGTGCTTCCTTATTCAACACCAATTAAAATCGATCTTGAAAGGATGCAGTTGATTTTTAAATTTACTTTACGCATATTCACTTCTATAGTCAACAAAGAGTTTATATGTGAATTTGAAAATTTCCCATATCTCGTAGTGCCGCTTGTCAAAAATACACCTATCAATGAACATACTCCTAATTTCATTGATTGGGAAGATATAGAAAAGGCTGTTAACGAAAAACATATACCTGTTGACGTGAGTAACATATCTGACGACATGATGGATGCTGTGATAATCGATTATTCAGACAATTTACGGCGTTATTTTGTTCAATCTATACGACATGACTTAAATCCAATGTCTCCAATTCCAGAAGGAATGGCAATACGTGAAAAAGGTTGTAAAAATTTTGCGGAATATTATAAAAAAACATTTGACTTGGATACAATTTATCCAGATCAGCCGATATTTCAAGTTCGTAAAATTTCAAAGGTTATGAACTTTCTACAACCTGTTCCTGGAGCACTTCCAACTCAAAAGGGTCGAACGGCAACATTTGTAATTCCAGAATTTTGTAAACAATATACAATACGGGCTTCCGTTTTTAGGTCTGCCCTTATGATACCTGCTATACTCACTAGAATCAATTCTCAACTATTAATATTAGAATTACGATTAAAACTTGATTTACCTATAACTGATCAATTATTATTAGCGGCAACGACAACACCGTCTGCCAATATGGAGATGGATTATGAACGTCTCGAGACGTTGGGCGATTCATTCTTAAAATTTGTCGTAACGATAAGGTTATATGTCATGTTTCCTGATAAACATGAAGGTCAACTCCATTGTCAACGTATAAGAATTATTTGCAACAAGCAGCTATATAGAAGTGCAAAGAAGTTGCATCTCTATGAATATATAACATCACTTCCATTCAATCGTAGAGCTTGGAGACCAGCTGGTATGATCACCGCACTAGATGGACCCGACACGGTGGAACAAGAAAAAACTCATGGTTTAGCTGATAAGACTCTTGCTGATGTTGTAGAGGCAATGCTAGGTGCTGCTTTTTTGAGTGGAAAATTAGATGCTGCTCTTAAAGCTGCTATCGCATTGGAAGTTCCATTCGATGACATTACAGAATGGGATCATTTTCATAAAAATAATAAAAATCCTCCACGTGTTAAACAAAAAGCACTCAAGGCACTGAATATTGAAAAAATTGAAGAAATATGTGGATACACATTCAAAAATAAGATACTGATCGCAGAAGCATTAACACATGCTAGTTTACCTAATTCGGTAACATCATGTTATCAACGTCTTGAATTTTTAGGAGATGCAGTATTGGATTTTCTGACTGTTAAATATTTATTTGAAAAATACCCCGATGGTAAACCAGGATTAATAACAGATCTTAAGGATGCATCTGTTAACAATCAAATTCTTGGAGCAATTTGTGAACGAATCGGTCTTCAAAAACACATTATTCACTTTTCGCCAAAGTTGATGTCGGGAATCACTGCTTTCGTAAAAATTTTAGATGATATGCGAGATAAAGGTGAAACTGTTGGAGAATATTGGAGTGATTTGGACGTTCCTAAAGTTATGAGTGATGTTGTTGAAAGTATGTTGGGAGCTGTTTTTGTGGATTCAGAGTTTGATCCGGATGTACCACAAAGAGTATTTGATAAGTGGATTGCACCTGTTTTAAATGAGCACGTCACTCCTGATACATTAAAGGTCCATCCAGTGAAAAGACTAACAGAATACTTTCAAAAAGGAGGATGTACTATGTTGTTATTGAGGTATGATATTTTTTTTTCAATCAGTTTTCTTTTTATTTTTACTAATTGTTAAATTTATAAAATAATAGAAACCATACAACTGAAGGGCCCGAAGCACAGGAATCACCAGACTCTCAAGGTTGTACTATCTTTATTCACGATGACGCCGTATCGCACGCGAAATCAAATAATGTTCGTTCAGCAAGGAAGATGGCAGCTCAAATAATTTTAGACAAAATTGATAGTGATGCCGATTACTTTAAAAGGACGTGTACGTGTGTAGCTCTTCCCAAGGTGATCAATGATGACGATGATGATGAAGAATTGGTAGATTAAATAACAAATCATAACAAATTTGCAAACTTTTATTTAAGTCAAAAAAATATTTTCATATAACAAATAAATTATAATTTTATTTTTTATTTAATAAATCAATATATTATCTGAAAATTAAAAGAGAAAGAATTAGTTAATTCTATATAAGATTGAAAAAAATTATATATGTTTGTTGGTAACGGGACCAAAGTCTACTTATTTTATACATATATACTGTATAATACTTTGGTTCAAGAACCAACGATTTTTATTATACCCAATAAATGACGAATAACTTTTCGTTAAATAAAGCGAGAAGACTCGTGAATCAATTGGGATTACAGCCAAACTCCAATATAACGATATGTCAGGATCCATATGAAAATCTTTAAAATATCATTATAACAAAATTATACCGATTTTTATATATTCTCTCATAAAATTTTATCGTTATTGAATATCGAAATCAAACTGTAAATCACGTGAAATTAACATAAAAATCACTTACCCTTGAGTAAGGAATGAATAGTATTTACCACAATTAGGTAGGTTATTGAATACGTAAGTATGTACCTCATATTAAGAAAGCATTAGAAGAAAGAAAAAAAAAAACTGAGATCCATTCTATTTATATAATAACGTGATATTATTATGTAATAGGGTAATGCAATTAGTTCACGACTTCACGTGGGTTTATGCGACTACTTTTTTAAAAATATCTAAATTAATTTTGATTTTTTATATTTTATAAAATATAAGTGTATTATTATATGAAATTTTGCCATGTGAAATAAATAATAAATGCCGCAAAATTTATTGTTACTATACAGTAATCACACAATAGTTATTCTATTTTTTTTTCTGCAGCGTATATAATATAATTATGAGTATATGCAACTAAATAATATCATTGACTACCACACATTTATCATACCATATGTGCACTATCAGCCTTCCATCTATCTGCATAGGTAGTAAGAACATAAGGTAGGTTATGTTTGAATAACCACTTCTTAGAGCTAAAAGTCAAAATACAATGTTATTATATAAATAATTACATACTAATTTCAGTATAATATAATATATATAATATATATATATATATATTTGAAATTAGTTATATAAAAGTAAATTATATATAAATTTACTTAGTACATCTAACTCAAGATTACTAATATTACCATCTAGTATTATAGCTCCTAGTTATACAAAAATACTTTCAAATAAAAAATATTCAAAAAATTGCTTATTTTAGGGGTATTTTTCAGAAAATTTTAAACTACATACCCCTGCTTTTTAGCTAACTAATAATCCAAATTCAATAGATTTATACCATTGAATTCATCTCAATAAGAGGAATCTAATGATAATGGTTTTGTTTTCTATCTTTAATACTTATTAAGATACAATACAGAGTAATTTTTTTATTTAAATCCTAATCTGATTTATATGATTAAATTAGATATTTTAATTTTATTCAAAAATTGACATTTTTAATATAAAATTTTGGTTATAATTAAATACTAAATTGCTATTATATGCAAATTATAATCATTAATTATATATATATTGTTTAAATAAAATTTACAGAATTAGTTGATTTATAAAGTTCATATTTCAGTATATAAATAATTTATTTTCTTTTTACAATATTTGTGGTAATTAACAATACTAATTAAATCCTTTTTTTACCCATTTCTGTATGGTTGATTTAAATAATACATTTTATAGAAGACAACTGCTATAATTTAGTAAAACTAAGGAAATATATTATGTTAATTAAAATTACATTTATTATATTACGATCAAAGATTAAGCCGACTAATTATCCGAAGCGAAAAAATATTTACAATTTATATAATTTAATAAAGCTAAAATAAGGAAATTAATAAGTTTAAGCTTTAACAAAATTATTTTTATAATACAGTATTAGGCTATTAGCTCAGCAGGGGGCATGTAATTTTTGAATCGCGAATTTAATCAGGTTATTAAAGGTTATTATGAATCAAAAGAAAGAAGTAATCTTTTAGTTCTTACAAATGCATTAGATAAATATGACAAATAAGATTTCACTTACATAAATAATACTTTACATTTGTCACGTAATCGGTGTCAAAAAAGTACTGATCTTGGGGATAACTAATAATCCGTATTTTTTAGAACACAAGAAATCGGGCATTAATTAATATTACTTAAAATGAATCATCATGGAATATTAATTAATACCTCCCATTTTTGTAAATTGATTATCTAACGAAACAGATTGGATAATTGGATAATCGAAATGTGTGATTTTGATTGGTTAATAAACCAACATCAGAAAAGGTTGACATGTACGGAATCTTGCTTGAGAAGTTGGCGAATCACATGTTATTTACAATTTGCCCAATATCGGCAACATATCATACCATATTGTCATATTTACAAACAGAGGCTGTGTGGGAATTTGGTTTAACGTAGATTAGTAGATAATGAAGAGATTGTCCGAATCTACGGCAAAAAAAGGAGTTTTTACATCTGAATATTAGCAAATGCCTACGCTTATTTGCTTAAACTAGGATCGTAAATCTCTAATAAGTAAATATGGAATTTGTGACGTCAATTAGATTTTCATTCAACATGATACAAAATTGGGGTATCGTGCGTGCAATAAGTTTTCTTTCCTCCGAACTTTTTTTTCAAAAAGATAAATTAACCAAGGATCCTTTTTTTCTCTCCCATTAACGAAAAATTTTGCTTAATTTTACGTTAATTACATAATTTATATGAATAATTTTTTTTTTGAAAAAAAAAAAAATTTTTTGCTCCCTGACACGGAGCTCTGATTCCGTTTTTATACACAATAAACCCATTTTATTATTTAATGAATGATACTTGGCTGATTTTTACTTGTTCTAAATGATATCAGTGATATTGACGTTAACATATTTTGTTATTATAACCTATTAATATATCTCGCTGCGCTTTTTTAATATTACGATTCTATTAGTTACGCAATTTAGTTACAAATAAGAAATTCGTATAAATAGTTCAAATGAAGCCTTTAAATTTATTTAATTCCAATTCGCAACCGTCTTTTGAATCGGTTAATAATAACCATTGGGATCTTTTAGCATCCTCCTTTTATCACACTTTATATAATTCCCTCCCTTTTCGATTATTAGTTTTAGGGAATCAAAATTTGTCATCCAATTACTATATATATTATTTCTCTCCAATATATACAAATCTTAAACAATACTCCATAACAAATTTATTACTTGCCTATACTCTTCCTCTTCTTTATATTTTCTCCCCAACTTTGGTAAGTTTCTAAATATAATGACGCGCATTAAACATATGATTATGAGAGAATTTGACGATAATAAAATAGGGATAACGCATGTACTGCGGTTTTGACTAATTGCGATGTTTTTATCCTTTCTATTTCAGATTGTACCCGCAATATTTGTTCGTTCTTTACAATTTTTTGCTTCCAAAACAGCTGCTATAAGTAACAGTTTAACCTCAAATAAATCTCGTTCTTCAACACTCTTCAACCTGTCGTCCGCAAGCAGTTCCGGTTCTTCTTCCCCTCCCTCTTCTCAGAGGGGAGATAACGGGGATTCCATTCAAGATATAGAGTATTGGTTGCAAAGATGCTCAATATGTTTTGATGCCCAATTGGATTTTTGTTTGGAAGTTTGTCGAGACCAATTCTGCAGAGATTGTTTTCAAAGGTAAATTATTAAAATTAAAGAAAACATAAATATTAATAAAAAAATTCATTAATCCCTCACATATTTGAATAATTTAGATATGTTAAAGAAGTTGTTCATAATTCTTGGGGCCTCAGCATAACAAAAATAAAATGTCCTGTATGTCATGAAGTTGTACCCCAATCTGAATGGAGCAAGGTAAAAAAAAAAAAAATAAAATAAAATAAATAAAATAAAAATTTTTTTTAATACAACTATTTTTTATAGTATGTGGATCAAAATACAATTGACTTATATAATATGTACAATAAACCATACCGCTCTTTCTCTCGTTGTTGTTCTGGATGCGGTGAAGAAGTCTTTGCTGCTCAAGTATTTCAAGTTTGTTCTGAGGAAAAAGAAAAGTAGGTTTACTAAAATAATTTGGTGGCANAACAGGTTTTAATAATAATATCACATTACAAAAGGGTTCTTCTTCTTATTATTATTAAATAAAGGCTGAAAAAAAAATAATAATAATAAAAAAAAAAAAAAATTTTTTTTTTTTCTTTTTTAGATATTTTAAAGATATTTCCAATCATCTTCGCAAATTTTTGGAGACCTATGGAAATATTAAGGGATCTAATACGGACAATCAATCTGATACCGATAATTTTATTACTAAATTTGAAGCTGATTATTTAGTTTACATTTCTGAAGAGAATACCACCATTGAAATCATGGAAATGTATGAACATATTACTGAGAAAATGGGAAAAATTCTTGGCTTGAGGTATAATTTTTCAGAATATTAGATAGATTAATTGAATAAGCATCTGATAATTAACAATTTATTTAAATAAATTAGATTTAACTTAAACAAAAAACGTCCTTTAAAAAATTCTTCACATCATAAATTAAAAACGCATGCTGATATGGTAAAGGCTGCAGCAGAAATTTCCTCAAAATTTGTTGCATTGGAAGTTCGGCCAGAAGCATGGAGAGAATTGCAATTTATGCACATTTCTAATTTTCCACAATCCAATTGGTAATCATAAGTTTTTTTATATATCTTATTTCAAGAATTTATTTTTAATTTTACATTTCGGTGTAAAATTTCTTTAGTTCTAAATGTAAAAAGGACATTTGTCTTCAATGTGGGGACCCTACTCATCATACAGGAATGACATGTATTCAGTACATGCGTCATAAGGTGGCAAATCCTCATTTATTTATCACAAATCAATCTTTACTATGTAATGATAAAAATGACATTACGGATGCTCTTGAAAATACTAAATGGAAACTTGCAAATTCAAAATCTTGTCCGAATTGTTCAATATTGATCAATCGTGATGATGGATGTAATAAAGTTGATTGCTTGCATTGTGGATATAGATTTTGTTGGATTTGTAGAAGTGGCTGGTCAGAGAAATGCGGATTTTATCGATGTAGGATGGGTAAGCGAAAGAAAGGCAAAGATAAACAATCTGCACGTAAGCAGCAAAATTCTTCACAACTTCATATTCAACATGTTAATAATAATGTTAGCGAAATATCACAATTTGGAGGATCTCGAGATGATGTAGAAATGTCAGATTCTTTTCAAACTGAAGAGGAAACAGAATATGATTATGATGAAAATGATGTTGATGATGAGGCTGTTGTATTGAATGCATTGGCTCAAAGTTTAGATGACCAAGTAAGTAATTAAAAAAATATTGAAAAAAAATTGTGGTTTTGAATAATAATTATTATTTAAATATTAATTTTTTATAGCCCGAAATCGGAGTTCCTAATGTTTTCTTGATTCAATCTAAAATAACCCCAACTGATTCAAATTTTTAGAAAAAAATTACATAATTACATTTTTTAAATACACATCTCTTTTTTTATTGATTTTGAACAAAGCGGGAAATCGGGCGTAGCGTTTGGGAATACTTCTTTTTTTGGTTATGATTTTTTTTTTCTTTTGTGATGTATCTTTTTTTTCAAATTAGAAATAAATATAACGGGAAAACTTGGTTGGTATATATGTGAAATTTTTTTGATGTATATGATGTATAGTAATCTTTATAAATTTGTATATTTACTATTTCTATGCTTTTTTTTTTATTGTTAAGGAAATTATTTATATTTCATCTCCTTTTCCTGTTTTTCAAAATAGATGATACAAATTTCCAAATGAATGTTATAAATTAAATGATAAGTTGATTTATATATAGAGTTTGTATTATTTAAATTATTTATTAGAGTTAAATACAAATAACAATATTAGATAATAAATGTAGAAATATATTTATATTCTATATCTTATGATTCAAAATCTCATTATTCTATAAATTATTAGTCCTATTAGTCCAGAATAAAATTATTAGCTATTAAATAATAAAATATAATAATGATAATTAATGTATAATAATAAGTTTAAATCTAATTAATATTATATATATTTATAAATCAGATTAATGATTAAAAAGTATTGAATTATTTAATAATATTAAATTATTTCATTTTTTCATTTTTTTCCCGGTTTTCCTTGTCGATTTAACATAACCAATTGTAGTTTTCTTTGCACCACATGCAAATCTTTTTCTTCAAGTTCATCCATCAAAGCGAGAACGGCGGTAAGTACATTTGAATGCTATAAATATATAAATAATAAATAATAATTTTTTTTTTTAAAAAAAAAAAAAAAAATTTGTAACCAACCTGCCGTGGATCACCTTTAATATTGATATCCTCACTAATATTACTCAATTTTGGAGGAGGAGTTCGAGATGGTGCCCTACTTAAAGGAGCTGACGTTGCCTTTCCCGGTGACTTAGGTTGGAGATTACCAATTCCATTTGTCTTAGAACTTCCATTATTAGATTTTGATTTTACTAACTTAATACCACCTTCTTGTGAAGGTGGTGGTGTTCGTGATGGTGGTCGTGATGGTGGTCGTGATGGTGGTCGTGATGGCGGTCGTGATGGTGGTCGATTTGAATTTATAGCAGGTGATCGTGCACGAGGACTATTTTGACCATTTCCTTGAAAAGATAAAATCCCATTTGGATTTACTCTAATAGGTTTAGGCGATTTATAAAACGAATCAAGATCATAATTTGTTTTAGGTGTCCAGGATGAACTTTTGAATAAATTTGTGCCTATATTATCTGAAGATGTCGATGTGAAATCATTATCACTATCAATATTTCCGTTTTTTTTTGAAAACTCGTTTTCATTCAATCCTTCATTAGATGAACTTTTACTTGAAGTCAACCGGTTACGAATTTTAGGAGGCATCGTAGATGGTAACTATAATAATTAAAATAATTTGAAATAAAAAAAATCTGCGATACAATAATAACAAAAGACCTAATAAAAATTCAAACTTACGCTACTCATTGAAGCGAGGACTTCTTCATCTGTAACATCTAATTTATGATAAAATTGCGTTTAGTTATAAAATTTTTTTTTTTTAATATATAAAACTCTTAAAAGTTTATCTATCTACCATGATGATCCAATTTTTTTAACCAAGGTAAATATCTTAGTACTATGCTTCGATATTTCGTTTCATCATCGGCACATGGATTATCACATAACCAAAGTACTTCTAAATTTCTTAAAGTAGTAAGATGTTTCACTTGTTCAACATCATTAATAAAATTCTTTCGCAGATAAAGTTCTGTTGTTAAAATAATTAAATATATTATTATTAAAAATATTTACACAAATAAATTTAAATTATATGTTGGTATATTATATATACCTTTTAATCCTTTGCCTTATTAAAATTAAAAGTAATTCCAACGAAATATGAATAAGGCCAAAAGTTGAAAATTTTTTGATAACAATTAACCAGCATACTATTAGAAATTATAAAGCTGACTCACATTCGGAAAGTTGTTCCAGAGAAGTGAGATTATTTACACTACAATAAACATAAATGAAAAAAAGTTAATTTGGATAAGTTAAAATATAATTTTTATTATTATTATTACTTTACCTCAAACTTAGTGTTTCTAAGCTACTACAATTTTTCAATGTTCCAATGTCGTCTAGTTCGCAACCCTAAGAAATAAAAACAGAGAGTTGAACATCATAAAGATGTCAAACCAAGAAAAAAGCAAAAAAAAAACCATGTTTTGAATACCCATAAATTCAAGTTTCGAACTTCAACAACAGATTTTGCACTCGATTTGGTTAAAATGAGTTCGTCTGTCAGAATTGCCATAGTTTCTTTATGATTAAAAATAAAAATTAGTTGTAAGATATAAACGTTACGTAATTTTAATGTGATAATGATCAAAAACCTATTTCTTCCGTGGTTATGAATTAAATTATAAAAAACGCATTATAAGTTAAAATTTAAAAAAGATATAATGATGATATACACCTAAATAATTTAAAATTCGGCTGTGTGATACTGTCTGTGGTTCAGACGCGATTTTTTTGTCTTTGTCTTCGGGATTTAATTTTTTTATACAGGTGGCGATCAATCAGCTAATATTAATGTGGATAGTCATCACATGTTAATATAATATAAATAGCATATGATCCTGCTTTATAATCACAATAAAGAGCTGAATTTTTCAAAAATATGAAACCACTTACTGCATAAATTTTATAATATAGAATTTACCATCATTTGAATCGTTTTAATGAGACAAATCTAATGAGTCAAAATTCAATCTTTGGATCAAAAGATATTATAAATGGCTTAGCACGATCTTTTCTATAGAAGATTCAATGATGCAACCTAACATGGCTTTTTCCCGTATAATCATTACATTACCTAAAAACATCAAATACAATAACTGATAAGTGAAGTCCAATCTGTACGCTGTGTATTAATGAATTTAATATTAAATAAATATAATTTATATCAATTTTCTTTAAATTGTGGTATTACGCATCGGTACATATAATTAACATTCATTCAAAAATCGCAATTGTCATGAGCGAGTTATTCATTTACCGAAAATTATAGGAACTATATGCATACAATGGAGTTTCTTGAAAATTGCTGCGCCACGAAAGCATTTTAGAGAGTAAAAAAAAAAGAACGTTTTTGCTAACAAACTCAAACTATGGAGAGACCACTAACTATTAATACTTTATGATAAATCAAAATTTAGACAAGAGTTTGACGTTCACCAGGTGAGATCATATCAATCTGTTTCTGAAAACTACCGCAACGAAATTTTTATTATGAATAAAGAGAATAAAGATCAGTATCTAGATTCTCGAATTTTATTTGTAAAAATGGCAGAAATTTCGTAAATTATTTGGTGAAGAAATAAAGGTCTTTCAACATTATACAAAACTAAAGATGTAGTTTCGGATGCAATTGTCATTACTCATTACAAAAGTGTATCTTCTTATCGTAATTAAAATGAAACTGAAAATTTAACTACTCAAGCGGCTGACCTTAAGCCAAATTTATGCTCCGAAAAAAATTTCAAGTGGTGCAACTGACCGTACCTCCTCATGTTGAAAACTACTTATGAACCTGCTGATGGACTCCTTACCTCTCATTTCTACTAATGAAGTATATCTAGTAACATTTAGGACATGAGAATTCAAAAAAAACATCAAAAGATGCCTTGGAGGAAGTATGTCTACATTAGTCTTTCCATAAGTTTGAGATTGGTCAATTCATGAGAAATGCTGGGGCTATTTCAATAAATTACCGTCAGTTAATGAACTAGAGAAGTTTTACAAATCTTTACAGAACCTCTGAAATATCTTCAGTGTTCACTCAGATCATTCACGTAAGCTACTTTGAAAAGCAATAAGCGGAAATCAAATTGTGCGGCCAAAATGGAATGGCGCAAAAATTGATGACAACAAGATTCATCATGGTGGTGATGGATTATATCGAGTCCATTGATGATTATGTAAATATCAAAGATATTAGGATGTCATTGAGAATTTACACAAGTAATAATATTGTCTTTGACGTTTGACATCTAGTTTCAAATGAGAAAGTCAATATTTATGGGCGGGTGAAGAAGGAAAGGATCGTTATTCATCCTTCATGAGTAGTGAAATTGTTTGATCACTAGCCACTAGGAAGTCGAAGAAACATTACATCATCTGTTGAAAAATGAGTAGAATTAATTATATATTAAGTTAGCTTATGTGACAAATTGTGTATTTGTATTATGTAATCGCAAGTATAATTATTTCATTCGGAACTAATACATCTACCTGATCTAAAATTTTAGTAATGCGCGTGACAATAATATTACATACACACTAGGAAACCGTCAGGGATGACCACGTGAGTACAGAAACCCAACTTTGTATTAAATTTTTTCATAGTGCATATATTATTCTTTGCTTCGCTTTGCCAAGACTATTATTACATAAAATACAATAAATCGCAGATAATCATGTAAACAGAACCCAGTATATGCCAATTTTTATGAAATCTTTTTTAAATCATTATAAATAAAAAAATATTTTTTGATTTTTGTGAATGGTAGAATAAAGCTATTAAAGAAACGTGATTAGAAATACTAAAAGTTTTACTTAAAAACTTCATGTTTGATTACATGAGTTTTTTCACTCTTATTTTACCAATTTTAATTAATAAATAATATGGTAAAAACATTAATAAGGAAAGGATTATAAAAGTGAAAAATAAAATATTTTTATTTAGAATATTAAATATTTCTATACTTTATTTTTAATGCTAAAAATATTATTATATATTTAATTTATTTTATTAGTGCAGTAATGCAGACTAACCTGTTACAATTTTTGAATGGTAATGTAAAAAAACAATAAATGACACTAATAAGCAATGCAATTGATTTGAATTATATTATTTAGATTAAAATGTAAGGATTAATAATGCTGCTTTATTAAACATTTATAAGCATTCACAGTAGAAAATTACAAAAAATTAATTTTTTTTTTAATTCTTTATATAGAAATTTCTAATTAATAAATCATATATTCAAAAAGTAATAATTTGAAAAAATAATGTATAATTCACAAAAAATCACATTATATATATTGTTTAAATATATACATATATATAATAATATATATATAACTAAATTTATTATAGTATTTTAGTTATTAAAAAAAATATAGCTAATAAAATCTATTGATTTAATATTCAAATACTAATAAATCTAGATAATGTTGAAAATAAAAAAGTAAAGAATCTAAAATAATTGAAAAAAAGCCCAACCTTTAGCAATTATATGAGAAAAAAGCCGATTATTTACTTGGCAAAAACAATTTTTTATTAATAGCAAACCAAAAATAGAAAATTATTAATAGTAAATCGGAAAATTGGACTAATCCGGTATTATTAAAAAACTCCATTTCAGGAAAAAAAGTACAATAAATATAGATTATGTAATATTTCAAAATACCCAAAATTCATATTTGATATACACATATTTAGGTGAAATAGCTGAAATCATTATTTGCACATGATAAATTCTTGAATATAATGAAAAAATTAAATTAGCTAGCATTCCAAAGAAATATCACTATCGGAGATATATTAATATTTAATATTTAAAAAAGATATATAAGAATATCCATTTTAGTTTGATAAAAATTTTATTGTTTAATTTTACAGCCAAAAAAAAATATAATTAGAAAGGTTTTGATGTAGTGCTCAGCAATGTGAAAAATTATTTGTGAACATCTGATTCGATATGTATGCACTTTCACTGATTTCGTATTGGAACAAATTATTTTTAGATTTTACTGCCCTGCATGCCTACATTCCCTACATGCGTTCTCAATTACATCACAAAAAATATGATTTTTCTTTGAATTTTTTGATCGGCTGTACCATAAATGGCCAATCATCAAATTAACCGAGTAAAGATTTTTTATTCATTTTCGCTCAATAAGAATGAAATTAATTTCTCAATTTTTGATAATTTTTTCATGTATAAATGATGATTAAATGAATAAATGTTATTTTACGGTGTAACTTCATATATCAAAATCGCTCAAAATTTGATTTATCAATTTTTATGTACCGCACGGCGCGATGAGTAGGTTTTTTATTAATATTTTTTATACATAACAATTACAACGTCTTGTGAAATACCTCCCAAATTTGTCACACTCCAAATTGGTCCCCATGGCTCCATGGCTTAGATTTTGTGACTTAGTTTATTTTCATACTGTGAAACATAATTCTATACTTTTTCGTATATACAAAGTTGTTGTATCTCACGATGAAGCTCTGAGCAAAAAAAAAACCCAGAATATCTTCCAATTTTTATAAGTATTTATAATTATTTTTTTTTTTAGTTTTATTACTCTTCATTTTATTATTTTTTTTCTTTTTGAGAAAACACATGCCAACAACACAACCAACAACAGCAACACCTGGAGTTGCTTCTACGCAAATAGACTATAAATATTATTATAAAGATCCACTAGAAAAAGAATTACCTCCAACACCAATTGAAAATGAATATACTAAAAATGGAGCATCGGACGAGTCTGCTGGTAGCTTTGACGGTAGCAATTCTCATTATTCGTCAGAGGACGAGAACGACCATTTTCATCCCGCTAGTGAAAATCTCGATAATGATACCTTAATGCATGGATACGATAATAATTTGCTTCAAGTGGAAAATAACGGTCCAACAATATTACGTGATTCGCCCGTACCTTCGGAACTACCAGTGTATTCCCCACCAGACGAAGATATTCAACATAAAGAATCCGTAAGAAAAAAGCCTGAAAAAACCGCATCTCGAGAAGTTCCTCGACAGCGTCAGCAAGCTTCAAATTATTCCCCTCCTGTCATTACTACTTCAGATCCGAATGGCGAAACAATTTCAAATAACACAACTGTATCAGATACTAGTAGTCATATAAAAGTTAAACCAAAAAAGGTTTTGGGTAATTATACTTTGACAAAAACTTTAGGTGCTGGTAGTATGGGAAAAGTAAAGTTAGCTGTTCATTCACTAACTGGAGAAAAGGTAAATTTAATTATAAAAGTTGAATTGACTAAAAAAAAAAAATAAATTAAACAATAATTAATATTACATGATAAGCGAAATGATTTTTAGAAGAATTTTTTTTATCAACATTTTAATTTTTTAATTTAATTAATTATAGTTGGCTGTAAAAATAATTCCACGTTCACATCCATCTGATAAAGACTCTTCTTCAAAAGATGATAACAAAGAAACTCGCACTATTCGCGAGGCATCAATAATGCTTTTGTTACATCATCCTTATATAGTACAGCTTAGGGAGGTTATGGTACTACCACACCATTATTATATGTTTTTTGAATACGTAAATGGTGGACAAATGTTAGATTACATTATCAGTCATGGAAAATTAAAAGAGAAGCATGCAAGAAAATTTGCTAGACAAATAGCTAGCGCTTTAGGTGAGTCTTTGAAACCATAGTCTATAACGACTATATTAATTTCAAAAAAATTTGATACATATTAATTTTTGTGTATGGCTTTAAATTTTATTGAAAAATAATTATGCAAGTTTTTATTTCAACATTTTTCATAATATCGATACATTCGCTTTTTTTGATTCATTATAAATCTATACAGATTACTGTCACAGAAATTCCATTGTGCATCGAGGTTTGTATCTAAATTATTACAATTTATATCGTTGTCTCAAATATTCATTTTTTTTTTTTTTGATTATAGATTTGAAAATAGAAAATATCCTAATATCTAAATCCGGCTCCATTAAGATAATTGATTTTGGTTTATCGAATTTATATTCACCACGATCTCATCTTTCCACGTTCTGCGGTTCACTATATTTCGCAGCCCCTGAATTATTAAATGCAAAATTATATACTGGGCCGGAGGTGGACGTATGGAGTTTTGGAATTGTTCTTTATGTACTTGTATGTGGAAAAGTCCCTTTCGATGATCAAAGTATGCCTGCTTTACATGCTAAAATTAAGAGAGGTGTTGTCGAATACCCTGGATGGTTGAGTAGCGGTAAGTGCTTTTACATGCATTAAATTATTATTATTTTTTTTTTTATTAAGTGTGCCTATATTGATGTTGCATTTTTATCAAGATTGTAAACACCTCCTTTCACGTATGCTTGTTACCAATCCAATGCATCGAGCTACTCTTGCTGAGGTAATGAGTCATCCTTGGATGAATAAAAACTATGATGGTCCACCGGAAAATTACCTACCACCACGTTCTCCACTTTCCCTTCCATTAGATCCTGAAGTGATACATGGCATGACTGGTTTTGAGTTTGGTATTGAGCAAGAAATTAAATTACGTCTTGAAAATATAATTAAGAGCGACTCTTATCAAAATTCAATAAAAGCTCAATATTATCATCATCAACTTGGTGGTTCATTAGATCATAGGAAAAAAAGTGGAAGTTTTGAATATTATCGTAAAAAATTATCAGGCTCGAGTGGTTCAATCCATGAGGATAAAGCTATAACGGCTGATCCTTCTCAAGCAGTTCATCCATTAATATCAATTTATTATCTTGTCAAAGAGAAAATGGAAAGAGATCGTTTAATACAACAAGGTGGAATCCCCAAATTTGGTTCTTCATCATCGCTTGTTGAAACGAATAGTATGCATATTCCTCATGTTCCAGTACCTGATCCTTCACATCCAAGCGATACTGGTTTTGATGTTAACATGCGCGGATCAGTACCACCTGGAACAAATGCAACCTCACCACCAGTTGTTAGACGTGCAACAGTTCCTTCTGGAACTAGACCTCGTGCAAGAACAAGTGGTGAAGGTGATCTACTAAATATGGTTACAGTTCCACCAGTAGTGGACGAGGGAGAAATTCCTGAGGAAACTACGGATGAAATTAGTGGGGAGTTGAATTATGGTAGGAAGAGCAGCGAACAAACAACAAATAGTAATACCAGTTCAAGCGGTGGACTAATAAGACGCTTGAGTTTAGCAATAGTGGGGCTACCACGAGATTCAATGTCACCTCCTATCTCACCAAATTCAATCGGTTCTACTTCTCCAAAAGGTCAACCTGAGCATTTACATCGACGTCATGGCTCAACTCCAAGTGGTCCTAAGAGAGATAGTTCTGGTAGTCATCTATCTAGCAAGATTTCCAATATGTTAGCTAGGGCAACTACTGTTTCTGAAGCGGATTATAAACGTCATCGTCAAAGAAGTTCGGTTGGTAGCAATAGATTGGTTCATAATAACGCTGGAAACCCTCCAAAGTCTCCTGGTACTAAAGTTCCTGTAGGCGCTTTACCACAATTAAATGACCCATCTTCACAACAAGATAGATCTAACTTTCCTCCAAGTTCTAATGCTACAAATCGAGTAATTCATCAACGTAGTTCTTCGATTAATCAAGTTCCCAACCAAAATTCACAAAGCCCAAATGACTTTAATTTCCCACCTTCCTCTTCACCACATTCACCTTTACCTGGTGGCACAGCAGACTCTTGGATTAGACCAGTATATCTTAAAGGATTGTTTAGTGTAGCAACAACTTCAACAAAACCTCCATCAAGTATACGTCAAGATATAATAAGGGTACTTGATCGCATCGGGGTTAAATGGCGAGAAGGCAGAGGAGGATTTGAATGTGTACATATACCAAGTATTGATCTAAAATCTATAGTTACTAATCAAGGAGGAAAAAATGATCAATATTCAGGAGTTACAAATCATCATCATACTTATTTTAATCGACATGAACGTAGAGGAAGTCATTCCTCGGGAAATTCAGCGGCGTCATCGTCATCTTCAACTTCATATAAGGATAGTTATGCACAAGGTCAGGACCTTCATTTCTCTGCAGATGGTGAAGTTCGACTTTCATTATCACCTCCAAATGGGGGGTTTGGAAATAGCCAGTCTGATAGTCATAGCAGCGGTAGTATTCCCTCTTCAACTGCAACTGCCAACGTTACAGATTTAGTTGTAAGATTTGAGATATTTATTGTTAAAGTCCCATTATTACTTGGAGTACATGGATTACAATTTCGCAGAGTTGCTGGTGATCCATGGCAATACAAAAACATGTGCTCAAAGATCTTGGGAGAACTAAAATTGTAGCATAACAAAAATTCAAAAAAAAAAAAAGTTAATAACATTATTTAGATCAATAACTTCTTATATTTATTTTTATTATTTATACCAATTTTTCAAAAAAAAAAATTTGGTCCAATTGTAAATGTGTAACAAAAAATTTTCTAGTTGTAGATAGGTGTTTTTTTTCATTTTACATATAATAATAGCCTTTTATGCATTTATATTTTATTATTACTATTGTTATTGACAATTTTATTATATTATTTATTATTATTTATCAGAATTGTTTAAATATTGTAGATGTATGTAGTTAGTTCTGCGATCATTTCGAAGTCAAATCAAATGTACAAAAAAATTTTTTATATTTCCATTTACTCTATTTTGACTTCGTCAAATTTTTTATTCTTTTTTTTGGATGATTTTTTTGTATGTAAATTTTTTTTTTTTGATATTAAATATATTGTAAAGTTAACCAATGAATAATCATCGGACTTATACTATAAAAAGTGTAATTCAGGCAACTTTACTGAGATGAAATTAAAGTATCAAATTCGCGTTCCGCGTTAATGTAACGTATGCAATGTTGATAGGCAATCAAGTGACTCGGTGGCTCTTTATATAAATAAAATTGTCGCGTCTTTTTTTTTTTTTTTTTTTTTAAAAAAAAAAAAGTTATCCAAAGAACTAAAAGAACTCAAAGAACTCTATAACTATTTACTGGTAAAACAATATGCAACACCACGCGCAAGCAATAGATCTATCAAAAGCTCCCACTATGGAAGAAGTATTAAATGGTCGACTTCACTTGAGACAAAGGTCATTTAATTCAGAGAACCGTATTTTACAAGATGATATAACAGAAAAGTTCAATAAACGAGATAAAAGCTACAGGGAATCGCGTACTTATTCGCAACAGACACCACTGCAAACCTTTCATTGGTCTTCCCAAGACTTACCTCAAGATTTTCGGTCTAACGAAGAAAACATTTTTAAGTTTGGAAGTGGTAAATACCTTAAATGCTTTTAATTTTCACTTTTATTATTACTAAGTATATAATATATAACAATATATATTAGAGTCAACTGTTACAATGGATGAAATATATAATAATGGTACCGGAAATAGAGGAAATAATTTATCAAAAAAAATTTATACAATTCCTTATTCACTTCATTTTAATCATAATACTTTACCTGTTACAACAAATCCATTTTCCGAGAATCGATTTTCATGTTTAGAAAATGAACTTCAAACATGGTTTTTAGACGAAAGTAATTTTACGGATAAATCAAAGGTAACTGATTAATATAATGAATATAATGACGTGAAACGCGTAAATAAGAATAGTCATGTGACTATCGTTGACGCGTTTTTTTTTTTTTTTCATTCGTTGTAATTTATAGAATTAACGAACCCCCTTTTTTTTACAGGATTATATTTCATCTCTATTTCCTATTTCAATCGATGAAGAAAACAAGAATGTTATAAACAAGAATGTTATGCAAAATAGGAACGAAACGGAAGGAAAAATCTTAGCAAATAATTTTGATCATACAAATAAAATTGACATTCTTGATTCTGAATATCGAATAATAAAGAAACTCGCCGAAAAGCAACAGCATAGTGTCAAAGAAAGCTTAGCAGCAGAAAGTTTGGTGACATTACAAACTTCAAAAGAAGAAAATGAATTGTTACAATCATCTAAAGATCAAAGGATGCAAAATAAAAAGAACGGGAAAACCAAACAAAAAGCTCATAATGAACAAAATCAAGCAGATAAGGAGAATCATCATGATTTAAACACGAAAAATATGCTCCCAGATCAGCTTCTTTATGATATGTTCATTAAAAGTGGGTTAACAATGGAGGATGTACTAAAATTTAAGGAAGATAGTTACAGAAATCAAAAGGTGACTATTTTAATCTTGCATATTCCATTGATTATATTAATATTACGTTAATTATTAATGAAATTCTTTAAAAAGATTGATGATACAATTTTAAATCCAGCCGCAATTTCTATGCAAATACCTACAACGGTCAATATGCCAACGCAATTGCAAGCACCAGTTCCCGTACCAAATCCATTTCAAAGTCCTGCACCAATTAACCCAGTAAAGATTAAGTTACCAAAAACAAAACCTGCAAATGTTTCAGGATACAGATCAAAACCCGCACCAATCTTACCAGGGACAATTATACCCTATCACCCGTACCTAAATCAAGAAGACGATGCAGAAACAAACACGCAAATGAATGATATACAAGAAAAACATCAACGGCCAGGTTATTCCTATGCTTCTATGATAGGACAAGCCATAATGACATCACCAGAGAAAAAACTTGCACTAGCTGAGATATATTCCTGGATATCGAAAACCTATCCTTATTACAGGATGAATGATATTGGTTGGAAGGTAAGAAAGTTTATTAGCTATTGTATTAAGATTTCGAGATTACTCTAAATTTTAATAGCTTTTGCAAATCAAAAATATAGAATTCTATACGCCATAATCTATCATTATATTCGGCTTTTATAAGAGTTCCTAATGAAGGTGCAACGAGATCTCTTTGGATGATCAACCCTGAAGAAGAACAATGTTTCGTTAATGGTGTTTACCATTACTCAAAAGTAAGCAATAAGTACTTAATTTATCTAGCTGACCTTGTAAGATGAAAAGCTTTTTTATACTTATACGGAACCAAATTATAATTTAGAGGCCACCAGGTAGCAACAGGAACTTGAGAAGAAAACCTAAAAACACATCGACAAAGTTAAGTGTTGACAATGAAAATTTGAATAGCGTTGTACAAGCTACTAGTACTACTGCGAATGATACCATTATGCCGACGGCAGCATCTGGTACGATGAATCCAGTTAAATATTTCACAAATCAGTATAATATTCAATCGTATAAATTTCCTAAAGAAGTTTTATCTGATACGTCAGATTAATGTCTTCAGTGTGTCGTATGCAAGTTTTCTTTGTAAAATAATCGGTCTTTTATTAATTAGGAATTGTTTTTGTCATAGTAATTGAAGTATTGATTGTACAATTTGTGATGATTTCGTTACATAAAAAATCACGCTTTTTATAAAAATAATTAAATAATTAATATAATTGTAAATATTGATATTCTCGAGAGAGAGAGTGTGTGTGAGTTCCGGTTCAAATCAAATCCGCCTAAGTTTAATTTTGTTTATAAAGAATATTAAATAATACAAAGAAAAATGGACAATTATTAAATTTGGAGTGTACGACCTCAATGATTTGATAATTGCGTAAAAAACGTAAAAAAAGTATTAATTAACAGCATATTATAAAAATGAATTTCACAAATATTGGAAGGGAATGATAAAGATTTGTTGCAATTAACTAGTATTTTCCAATTCGCTTTCGTTAATAATATTTGTTTTATTTTACGAAGTAAACATGATAAATGAAAAATGAAATGATGAATCAATAAGGCAAACCACCAACATAAATATATTTGAAATCGGATTTATTTTAAATTTATATAGCGCCACAACTAATAAATAGATTATTTTGGACCTAAATAAAAATATATAAATATATTTAAATGTTAAATATTTCTTGGTAAAAGTTAAAGATAATATATCTTACCAAGCATTTTTTCTGGTTTAACATATTCATCAAATTGTTCTGAAGTGAGTAACCCTAATTTAATAGCGGATTCTTTCAACTATTAATTAAATTAAAAAAAATATTATTAAAAATTTTTAATTATCAATCAAAAAATTCCAGTTCAAGAATTTACCGTCAAATTTTCTTTATATGCATTCTTTGCTACTGCAGCAGCCTTATCATATCCTGTTATATAAAATTATCGTATTGATTATTTGTATACCCTTACGAATATTTACATTCAAATTACTTTGTGATAATTACCAATATGTGGATTTAAAGCAGTCACAAGCATAAGACTTTGTTGCATAATATTGTTAATCTAAAATAATAATGAAAATAATAATAATTAATACTTTTAAACACCAAAATTATTAATATTATGAATAAAAGAAAAAGAATGATATTAACCCTTTCTTCATTAGCTTTGATTCCGACAACACAATTATTTGTAAATGATACACTCGCATCACCCAAAATACGAATTGAATGGAGAAGATTTTTAATTAAAACGGGTTTGAAAACATTTAGCTAATATAAAATATCAAGATTTTATTAATAATCTATATTATTAAAAAAGGAGGCACAAGAATATTTAATCATTACTTCAAAATGTCCATTTGAACCGGATATAGATATGGTGGTGTGATTACCAATTACTTGAGCAGCAACCATTGTCATGGCTTCACATTGAGTTGGATTAACTTTCCCGGGCATGATTGAAGAACCAGGCTCGTTTTCGGGAAGTGAAAGTTCACCAAAACCACAACGAGGTCCAGAACCTAAACAACATGTGAGTATATATTAGTTATCAGAATGTTCCATGTTACAATATATTATACATATATATTTATAACCTTACCAAGAAGACGTATGTCATTGGCTATCTTCATTAAGGAAACAGCAACAGTGTTAAGAGCTCCACTAACCTCAACTATAGTGTCATGAGATGCCAGAGCCTCAAACTATTAATATAATATAAGCTTGGTTAAACAAATATATAATGAATCTTTGAATTAAGTTTATAAGCTGACTTTATTAGGCGCCGTTTGAAAGGGTAAATTGGTTATCTTCGCGATTTCGTTTGCGATATTAACATCAAATCCTTTACGAGTATTCAACCCCTACATAAATTTTGTTATTATCACACGTGACGAAAATAAAATTGAAATGATTGAGTTAATTACATACAGTTCCGACAGCCGTACCACCTTGTGCCAAATAATATAACCTTGGTAATGTTGTTTTAATACGTTCAATACCAAATGTCAATTGTTGTACGTATCCAGAGAATTCGTCGCCAAGAGTAAGCGGTGTAGCATCCTAAAACATTTTTATTAAGATGTTATTATTGGTAAATGCGTCTATTTATTTTTTTTAAAAAAAGGAACATACTTGCAAGTGAGTTCTTCCGATTTTAATGATGTTTGCGAATTCTTTGGATTTTTCTGCAATCGCGTCACGCAATTGTGTCAATCCCGGTAGTAGACGTTCGTTGATTTCGATTGCTGCGGACACATGCATGGCTGTAGGAAAACTTACAAATAAAAAAATACATTATATCACGTGTAATCTAATATATGATATCGACGTACCAAATACTCACGTATCGTTTGAAGACTGACTCATATTCACGTGATCATTGGGATGAACTGGACTTTTACTTCCAAGTTGGCCACCTAATATTTCAATAGCTCTATTTGCAATAACCTAATTGTACCACAGAGAACTAAGATTATCGATAAATTAAAATCTAATCAATAAAAATCATTATATCATTACCTCATTTGCATTCATGTTTGTTTGTGTTCCAGAACCTGTCTGCCATACTACCAAAGGAAAATGATCTAAGAGATCTCCCTTGCTTACCTACATAAAAAAAGACACGAAGTTTTTGAAAGATTTTTTGAAGATGAATAAATGTTATAATTGATATACCTCGTTCGCAGCCTTAACGATAGCTTCACCTATTTTTTGGTCAAGACCATAAGTAGCATTTACAGTAGCGGCAGCTCGCTTTATTATACCGAATGCCTTAATTAAAGGTTCAGGCATACGTTCGGTTGGACCACCGATATCGAAATTCTTGAGTGACCTATTAACATTGAAAGGTTTAACATAAACGAGTAAGACTTGAACAAAAGTCAAAATGGCATAATATAATACAAAAGAATTTTAAAATTCTCGAATAAAATAAATGACCTACCTTTGAGTTTGCGCACCCCAATAACGGTCCGCAGGAACTTCAATGTCACCAAATGTATCTCGTTCAATTCTATACTTTTGCTGAGAAGTCATTACAGTTTTGAAAAGTTAGTGATGTTTTTTTTTTTTGAGATTATATAGTAAGAGATGCTCACGTGATAAGATAAATTATCTTACCCAATGTGATGAAACAATGCTGAATGAACGATTTTGTAAACGAAAAATCTAAAAAAAAAATGATGATTAATTTGAAGTTGTTTGTTTCTTTAATAAAAAAAAATTTTTTTAATCGTACGGGTTTGGCTTGGACACGAACGAATCTTAAATTCTTCAACATTTGTGAATCAGAAATTAGAGGAAAAAAAAAAAAATTTTTTTTCTAATAGATATTTTATATCGATTTTTTTTTTGACGCATCATGAAGATCACGTTCAATGCACCCTCATTCACTAGATTTGGAAAAAAAATCTGCATTTCATTATAATAAACCTCCCAATTTTTAACGGTGCAAAAAGATGAATTGTAGTTTTATTAAATAAAGTTAAAATAATATTCTAATAACGTAATATAATAACGTAATAAATATAAATAATATATATATATAATCTATTAAAAAACTAATATTAAATTAAATTAATTAAATTAAACCAACTCGGAAGAAACAGAAGGTTTGTTCTTTTTAAATCCAATGATTCCAGAACAAAAATTTAAACATAATTTTGCAAGACTCCACCAAAATAAAAGAATTTTAAAAGGTAAATAACATAATTTACTAATATTTCCTTCGGATGAAATCATTTCAGCAGGTCTTTGTTGTGAAGATAATTCTATGGTACCAGTCGCTCTTACATTATTAAAAGTATTTTCTTTTGGAAAAATTCCAATTAATAACTTAATTTCGGAATCACTTAATAAACTGCTCATATACCAAGTTCTCAAATTATCATCTTGACCACTTTCGTCGGCTTGTTGAACTGTATGAGTAAAACTTAATACATTAATCAATAGATTAACGCTAGCTCTCATAAAATCAGGACCATTTTGAGTAAATATATCATCTAAAAAAGTCCAACTTGCTAAAATTGGTTGATTTAATTGTAATTTAAATATATGTAATAATCCTTTAATAAAAGATTTTGCACCAACTGAATTTTTATATTGATTAATGAAAGTTGATAATTCTGAACGACGATGTAAAGGAGTATATTGTGCTGGTTTGGAATTTAATAATCTATCTAATTCTTCATAAAGTTGTGTTGCTTTTTTATGATGAAATTCTGATCGAATTTTACGTTTTGCCTCGAGGTATTTATTATATTCTTGTGGTAATAACATTATACCATTAACAAAACCTATTTTATTAAGTAGCTTTTCTAAATCTTCCTTCTTTCCCGCTACCGTCTGGTCAATATCAGAAAAATTTAAAGTAATAGTTTCATCAGAATGTGAAGCAAATTCTACAAGTCCAATAATTGTACCAGCAAGTTCATCATTATTTACGTAAAAATTTGAACATATATTTTCCCATTCTTTAAGGTATGTTTCAATAGACAAAAGACTTCCTGAAGTCATTTTTTACTACTAAAACTTTTTAGAATGTTTCGTTAATGTAAGAGAACTTAAGCTGAGGATGAAGACTTTTTTTTTTATTAATTAAAAGGAGAGAACAAAGGATAAAATTGAATTATACAGTTATATATGTTTGGTAATATTTTCACGTGAAAATCTGTACTGTATAATTAATTATTACTCCGGACTTCCCGAAAAAATAAGGGCTAAGTTTAAAAAAACCTTATTTTATACGATTTGAAACACTATTCTCCTTTTAGATATTCATTTTTTGACTTCAGCTATTCCAACGTTTGAAAGTATCCTTGTTTTATAATTTACCATTTAACAATTAGTTCGTAATATTGTTTATTTATTGTACGAATAAAGATTCGGGCTTTTGAGCTTTCGAGTTTTTTTAACTTTAAAAAATTCAAACCTAATTTTCTTTTCACGTGATCATAAATAATGTCTATTAATAATACTAAAAATTTTAACCATTTGAAATTAACCCCTGAAAAATTAGCAGTATGGGGCGATCGTCGTTCTTCAAATACTAATTTATTTCAGCAGAATCAAAATAATGTTCGGGATAACTCTCAAGATCATGAAACTAATCATGAACGAAGAACTAATGAAATCCAACAGGAAAATGAAAAAAATTTGCATCCTTTACCATTCGCTAGTCAAGTAAATGATCATAGTAATCAATCGGTTCATGAAATTAACTCTAATTTGAATTTGCCGAACAATCTACAAGTTGAAACCCAAGAAGATAATATGTCTTTAGATGATGGATTTGGTGATTATTTGAAAGATTCCAAATATATTCGAAATATTGATCAAAATGAAATGAATTTACAAGAAGATTATGAAAATATGAACATTGATAGCAATGTAGAAACTATTGACCTCACTGAAGGCTTTATGGATCATGATGTGCAAAGATTGAAAAATAATGAGACTTTTGACCAGGAACAAATTTTCAATCCCATATCTGAAAATAAATGTAATCTTAATTCATCAATTATTTTTGAGCAAAGAGATAATTTGTCAAAGGATGGTTCTTCAAATTTTTTAAAGACAGTACAGGATGTTGCGCCAACTGTCGAAAATCCGATTGACCAAGATAATACGTTGCATGAACATCCGTTGAAATTGGATGCACCAAATAAAGAGATACATTCCACTGAAAATCAAGGCGATTATTTGAAATCATCGTACGAGGAAACATATTTCAATACTAAACCTGCATTACAATGCAGGCCTATTTTTAGTAATGAAAAATATAACAAGATGAAAGAAGCTTCCCGTTTACGTGCATCTAATCCAAACATTTCTCACTTTATGAAAACTGTCTTACCTAATAAAAGATCGGATTTCGATCGTGACATGGAAGTGTGTAGCGTGCGCTTAACAATAATATCTAAATAATATGATAACGAACAATCTAATTCTTATCTATCTTTATACTTATACGATAGGAAATTTTATGTGATATAGAAGCATGTGTGCTTTATTTTTTCATCATTTATAACTTTTTACTGGTAAAATAATATTTAATTAATGACTTTACCGAACTAGATTATGAACTAGTGCAAGAAGGACAACTTGAAGTGAATCAACAGCTTGATTATATTGAGCGATCATTAGATTCTTTGAATAAGGAATTCAACAAATATCGAGGTAAAAAATAATTTATTTTTCGAGAATTTTAAGGAAACTAATCATTTTATCTTTGTACAGTTAAACTATGTGAATTGAGCCAAGACTTTTGTGATCAAATCCAGATTAATGTTCTTAAAGAAAGCGAAGAATGGGAAAGTGTGTTTGATAGGATTGGATCGTAATTATTAACTGGTGATTGAAGTTTTGTTTATTAATAATGTGGAGAAAATTTCACCAATCAACATAAATTAATGCTAATTATATATTACAGACTATAACAAAACAGGTAATATGTTGTGGTAAAAATTATTAAACATGACGTTAAATGTTTTTAATGCATGTACTGCAAAAAAATTAGCCATTAATTTGCAATACGAATTATTAACTTCTTATATCATTTTAGGTTATCCTTTCCTTTGTCCCATATTTAGTGAAAAACACCGAAACATCCCTTCAAATATTAAGATATACTAATTATTTTCCTTATTATAATAAACAACAATAAATTTTATTAACGGCGTAAATACGTATGACTTGCGAAATTCTTTCCTTTTTAATGAATTAAATGAAGATCCTTTGAAAAAAATTTCCGCATATTATCTCATGTATTTAATTTAATCTTGCGGGGGCATTTTTGTTTATAAAATTTAAGATCACAACGTTAAATTTGTTCAAATTACAAAAATAGCTTTTTTTTTAATCTTTAAAAAGAGATTAAAAAGTATAAAAGCCGTTAACATTCAATTGAATTTTAATTTCATCCCAAAAAAAAATTTTTTTTTAACGGGACAATTCTAAAAAAAGTAAAAAATTTTATTTTTTTATTTCTAACGAAACTTCTTTATTTACTGCTTTAAGCAACCTAGTTCTTTATAAATATAAGTAAATTGTTGGTTTTTTATTACTATAACACAATAAATTAAAATTTAATTTCACCAATTTCATTGAGTAATCTAACTTATATAAGAAAATATTAAAATAAAATGGATTATACAAAACTTCCTTTACATAATGATAATTGCAATGAAAAAACGAAAGAATCAAGTCCCGTAAGTTCCGCAAGTCCTGTAAGACCCGTAAGTATAAATTTTGCGCATGTGGCTATGTATCCGATAGTGTATTTCTATGAGTTTCATAGTTTTATACCTATTTAGTTACTTATTTGGGTCATTGTCATATATAAATTGTATAAATAATATAAATTTGTTAGTTTCATAGCGAGCAAATTCTTGTTATGAGAAAATTTGTTCAAAATGTATTTGTTTAGATAAGAGGCTGTGTTATAATTAGTAATTTCATTGTAGTGGCTTATTCCCTTGAGAATTATGTGGTTTTTTTTATATCGACCGATTTTTCAATTTTTAGCCTCTTTCAATTTTAACCAAATTTTTCTTTTTCTTTTTTTTTTTAAAAAAAACAAATTTCTCGACTGGATCTTCTCTAACTTTATTCTCTTCTTAAAATCAAGATGTATTCAATTTCATCGTTCTCACCAGATACAACGGGTATATCAAAGTCTTTCCCGTATTCACCATCAAGAATTGGAACGATTAAATTATTGATTTTAACAATAGTGACTCCAATAATGATTCTTACAATTGTAAATCCAATGTGGATTTGTATTTTCATGAAATATCCTCATTTACATCGCACTGCTAAGATACCTGTTAGCGTTGAAATGCCTCATGTATCAAATAATAATGTTCATAATGCTCATAATGCTCATAATGTTCATACTGACAATTTATCTGGCGCTAAACCTCAAACTCACACTCACACTAAATCATATAAAGGTGGAATTAAAGTAACACAAGAAACGATTGATGTAATTGTAGCGTCAAAAGACGGTCATCGTTTACAAGAATTTGAAACCACAATCACAGTAATTGAAAATATTCCACCTAGAACCAAAAATCATCGTAATCGCAAACAGATTTCTCAACATGATACTAATAAAAAAGGATTCAAAGCTCATGCTCAAGTGTCTGTCGCTTCTCAAGTAAAGAGCCATAACGAATCCATTACAGACAAAATTAGAGAGAGATTATTTAGGAATAGAAATAGTTGTGCTTATGTTGCTTTATCCGTCATAACATTATGTGCCGTTACCATTTTTGGTGTTGTATGCTTATCTAGTGATAGTAAAAAGGTATGTATTATGACGTTTTTACTTACGCAATTTAAACTTTAACTATTGATTAATTATGATTCTAAATTTATAAGGCTTATGAGTCTGTAAATAATGAAGAAGAAAATCGACTAATCGATGATCATTATGTACGAGTTGAAGATTGTGACGAGGACGAGAAATTAGGAGAAAATAATGTTACAGAAAACAAAATCGAAGTATGCATATGATTACTTGCTTTAATCCGTTTGGTAACGATTTAATCTTACTAATGTTGGATTTGTACACTTTAGGATGCATGCGTTATTGATTGTACTCGTGTGCAAGTAAATGATAATAATATCAGTACTCCAACAACTTCACCGCCTCCTTATTCTCCTAATACAAATTCCGAATTGATTTCTACTTCTACTACTTCTTCCGAAAATACTCAACAATCAACTGTCTAAATTAAAATAATTTTAAATATTTAACATAATTTCAATAGTAAATATTTTTCCCTAAAAATAAGGAAGGTAAAACTCTAAATATATTGTTTTGTGTATGAATTGAGCTTTCACTTAAATAAATGGAAAAATCTTATAAATAGCTTAAATTTAATTGAACGGCTTTATTCTACTATAACAAAATATTAAGACTAATATGTTTTACCAAAAGTAAAATCTTATGAGAATAAAATATACAGATAATTTTTAATTTATATTAATTTACCGCAAAAAAATTATTATTTAACAGTTAATGTAATAATAATATACCATAATAGAATCTAAAATTAATTATGTAATTTTCTTTTTAATTCAATAAATAATAATATTTATATTAATAATATACCGTACATAATTATTTATATACGGAAATTTACAAGTGAAAATGGTATCAATTTTGTACCAAGAAGATATCTTGTGTAATTTTTTTTTTTTAAATTTGTTCAACGCGCTTTATTAAACTTTGCTAAATTTTAATTCAATAAATAATAATATTTATATTTGCAATCATAATTATTTATATATACGTACATCAATAAAGTGATAATGCATTTTTTGAAAAAAAAAAAATATTATCACTTTTAGTACTTTTAGTACTGAAGATTTTTTTTATTCTTTAACGTTCCTCTGAGCATGAATTTTTATTAATTGACAGAACTGCGAATAGTACATGGGAGCTAAAACGTCACCCACCCTTTGGCATGCAACCAAGAAGATTTAATTGAAATTTCAACATTTATTTATTTGAAAACTTTTTAAATTATATACTCATAATCATTCCAATTTCAAATTTTTAAAAGTAAATGAGTAAAGAACTCTATTTTTTTAACAATGTGGACAGGATCTCACATTCCTTTCTTTTACATTATTACATTATAAAAATTTTATTCTGTGGGGCTTTTTCATTTTCATTTTCATTTTTTTCTTGTTTATATATAAAAGGGAGTTCTAATGAAAATCTATCCAGATAAATTACAATATTTAGGTAGTTTATCTAATTCTTAAGGATTGAGTCCAATTGTAAATTAGAATGTTAATAAAAGAAATGCATATAGGCAATTTAATAGAATCTGTAAATTTATTTTTCTAAATTTAATGTTCATCCTTATACACAAGACTACAATAAATTACCGGATTTCTTTAAAAATGCTTGGTAATTTTCATATTGCATGAAAGTTTATAAATTTCTGATGAAATCGTTCAAATTTTTTTTTATTTGAAAGCTAGTCCATTGTAGATTTTAAATTTTAAATAAAAAAAGGATATTTTATAGTATGGAAAAAAATTGTCTAATTGTTAATTATGACAGCCTTTTTTAGAATTATTTTGTATATTTATTTACATAGATAGGTTTTAGAATGTCATTTATATAACATTTTTAATTACATTTTTAAAAACTACAACTGATTAGCTTTCAAATAAAAAAAAAATTTATTAAAATCTATTGAAAATTGACAGACTTTTGTATATCTAGAAAAATTCCAATTTTACTGAAAATTACTAATAAACTTGAAAAATAATAGTAAAATATAGTAAAATAGGCATTTTTTAAGATATATACAAGTCTGTCAAATTTTAACAGATTATAATTATTATTTTTTTATTTGAAAGATAATCAATTGTAGTTGTTAAAAATGCAAATAAAAATGGTTGACATATTTGAAATTTTAAAAGTTATCTATGTGCAAATAAATATATAAAATAACCTCAAAAAGTTATCATATTTTATAATCAGATAATTTTTTTTATATCTTATAAACATTTTTTTTTTATTTAAGATACAGTCAACTCCCTGTCTCTTATACACAT